TTAAGGCCTTTTTCTCTTTTCTTTTCTTTTCTCTTTTCTTTTCTTTTCCTTTTTCCTCCTTTCTTGGACAGTAGGGACCTGCCAGTCCTTACTTGTGGCAGTCCCTACGGACGGCCAACTCGCTCACTCCCTCTCACTCTTTTTGTCTTATTCTTCCACTTTTTTTTTTCTTTTTTTTTTTCTAGCATGCCAAGTGTCAAGTGGCCGTTAAGGCCCTTTTCTAGCCGCTTCCTCTCAGTTTTGGCCCTTCTTATGCCCAAGGTGCAGTCCGTTATATCTCGGACTGCAATGCTGGCCTTCTCATGCCCATGGGAGCTCCCCTTTACTTCTGTTTTCCCTCCCATAGTGACCCCTCCTACTCCGACTTTCTCCCGGAGGGCTATTTTTCACATGGCGTCTCATTTGACTCCATTTTCTTGAGGGAGGCTAATCCGAGATTTTTTGGATTGCTCCCAAGCCTCCCACTTCAACTTTCTTTACTTTTTCTTTTCCTTTTTGCCTTCCCGTTTGCTACCAGTAGTGCTTGCAGTAGTGGTGCTAATATTCTTGGTTGTCAAGATGTCGATCTTGACGGTGCACCTTGCCCTTACTATTTTCCCTCACGAGGTGCGTCGTTTATTCTTGGGACTTTCACATGTCCCCGCCACTTGTCCCGTCGGTGGTCCCCGACACTTAGTCCCATTAATGGTCCCCGACACTTAGTCCCGCCGGTGGTCCCCGACACTTAGTCCCGCCGGCGGTCCCCGACACTTAGTCCCGCGGGTGGTCCCCGACACATTTTCGCCCCGGATGCCATTATTTTTACTTAGTTCGACGTGGCCCCGGGTGCCTTTCCCCGAGGTGTCCCACGTTCCTTGGGCGTCTTGCCGCCCCATGGTGACCCCCCTCCCTTGTCCTTTCTTGCGCCTTGTGCGCACCGATTTCTTTGGTCGTGGGCCTCCGCTCCGAGGCTCTCGTAGGTGGCCCCCATATTGACCCCTCGTTCTCTATATCCCGTGGCCTCCGGGCCGCCCATCCCTCGACTCCCTCATTCTTTCGTCGTTCTCTATATCCCGCTCAGTCTAGGAAGTCACCGCCCAAGAGGCCAGTAGGCCGCTATATCTTCCAGAGGAGCAAGCAACTCCTCCTCATTTGCGGTGTGCAAGGATTGGCGACATGCTGCTGGAGTGGGCAGCGCTGCCTGGAGGAGAGTAGAGCCCTCAGTAGTCCGCCATTGCCTAGGCATGTGAGAGGAGGAAGAACGAGGGGAAGCCATAGCTATGGTGGACCTATTGTGATGTCAGCACTAGGAGGGAACTTCGGATGTTGATTCTGGTTCATCCACTCATTGTTATTATTATTGTTGGAAGAAGAATAAGATTGGCGAAGTGAAGGAGGAGGAAGGTGGAGAGAGAAGGGGGATTTGCCATTGGTCTTGCCGGTGTACAACTTCTTCTTCTTCTTCTTCTTCTTCTTTGGTCTCTATCTCTTTGCAAGTGCTTTCATTTCTTTCGCAATTGGGTGGCATCGTCGTTCATTGTGAATTTGCACTTTGGGAATGACCAGGATCGTAACAATGGTATCGGAGCGGACTTACTTGCTGGCGAGAGGTGTTAGTCACCCTAAACCTAATTTCGAATTAGGTTAGGGGCTAACCTAATCTCGGATTAAGGTTGGAAGTTAGGGTTAAGAGGGGCAGTGCGGTATGTGGATGCTGCCCCCACCTCATTAGGTCATCTAGGGTCGACATCAGACCTGACCAGGTTGCTTGTGCCCAGACACAAAGGAGGCTGATTGGAGTAAGCGATAGAGAGTAGAGAGTGAGAGGTACTCGCACCTGGAATCTGCACTTCAAGAAGACATTGAGTGACTTTTGGGCTTCCCCTCAAGAGGGAGACTTGATCGGAAGTTGCCATATCTGCATCGAAGAGCTGCAAGTTGCTACTTTGGTCTTCAAACATCAACGGAGGATCCAGCGTTGTGACAGGGGTGTCGGGAGGCCTTCTTAGCCATGCTAGGACACTCCGTGTAGTGGTAGCTAGGGGTCAGGAGGACCTATGAGAGGGGGGAGAAGTCGTTATCCATCTTTGGAGGCCGGGCCTCACAGGTAAGTGCCGTGTGAGCTGGGTATGCCCGGGAGGTTGCTTGGTGCTTCATGGCCTGTTGGGGTGTGCTGGGCTCTCTTCCTCTTCTCTGCGGTCTTGGTTGTGTGTATGAGCATGTGGATTGCTTTCTCACCTGATGGATGGATGGATGATGTATCTTGTTCTCAATGACATATTTTTCGACGGTGCATTGTCTTTTCACTTCTGAACGGCTGTAGGGGTATGTTCTTGTTGAAAGTTGTCTTGTCCTTTTCAGTACGGTAGAGGCAGTTTGGGACTGACTTGGTACACCTATCTCGTTGGTCCTGGTCCACGACCTACTCCGGACCCTTCGGGACTCAGTGGGACCAGGCCCAATGGGACAGGACCTTTAGGACCCAAATCTGTTGCCGTCAACGCATCTCTTTGTCGTGCTGAATCTGGAGGGATACACAGCTAGTAAGGACATTCCTTTCAAGGGGATCTTGACTGGTCTTACTGCATGTTCTCACATACTGCCCCGCGTCTGGCTCGGCGACCGTCTGCACCCCCTCGAAATCTCCATTGCTGCAGTTAGTTTTTTTCGGCTGACTTATTGTGGTACATGTTCCTTGTCAGATTAGACAAGAGGGGATCTCCAACTAATCTGATCGGGCCCATTCGTTAAGTCAGTCCTCTCTTTAATTTGTTTCTATTTACTTATTTATTTATTTATTTTCATTCTGCTGCGTGAATGTCATTCAGCGAACGTTAAGTAAGTCCAAATGAATTGCCGCTCTAGCTAGGAGTTCTACCTTCTGCTCTCTGTGATTTATTTCTTTTTCTTTTATCTAAACTACCTATGTCCAACATTGAGACGTGTGCACACAAGGCGGAAAGAGAGGGAAGGGAGAGTGAAGGTGTTCTTTTTGAGAGTGTGAAGAGGGGTAAGAGGAGTGTTCGTCCAAACGTGAGCAAAGTGCGGACCCCTCTTGAGAGGTCTACTGACACCCCATCCTCCAGCATGGCAGACATCTCATCTGCCCAATGGTAGGCCATGTTGGACGCAGCGAACGAGAGCGAAAAACCGTTTTTATAGAAACTTTATGAGGACGCAATACACAGAGAGAGGGAGGCAAAGGCAGCAGCCAAAGCCACAAGTATTGCTACACAAGTAAACCTCCTCGGGGTTTCGGAATCTAGTGATGGGCGGTTCCAAGAGAAGCTAGTTGTTGCCGTAGCAGCCTTGGTTCAACTGCGGACCTTGGAAGACCTTGAGTCCCATGTGACAGCTCTAGAGCAGCGGAACCAAGAGCTGCAGGCTGAGATAGTCAGCCTCAAACAGTCCCAACTAACTGCCCTTCGTCCTTCTAACCTGCTGCAGTCCCAGTCTCTCACCCTAACACAGTCCTCATGCAGACAGCAAGTGGAACTGTGACGAGCGCATGAACCAGTGTCAGCCCCTCAAGCGGCAGCGCCGACAATTCTGCACTGGTCCCAGTCCCAAATGCAAGAACATCAACCCAAAACACCGCGGTCCTTACTGGCATACAATACAGCGGTGTCGGTGCGAATACCCTTACAAGGGTATCCGCCCTGGTTTTTGCAAGCAACAGAAAATAGGCTTGGTTTAAAGTTTAAGTATGCCGCGCGAGGCGTGGCGGCGTCTAGGGTTTACGCTAATTGAATGGTTGACTAGAGTAGAGAGTGTGTGGGCGCACAGATTTGAGGCGCATGTGATCTTTTTACTTGTTGATGCCTGAAGAGTTGGCGTGATCGCCAACCAGATTTTTTTTCATTATTTCTGATTAAACTAGGATTAAACAAATTTTGTCTTGTGATTGGTGCTGCCCGTAATCTGTGCGTACATGCGGAGGACGACACCGACAACGATGCGACTTCACTAGGTCCGCGCATTGCGCGCTACTCGCTTATGTAGGTGCCTGTTAATTACTACACCCAGCCTTGGGCCTAGTATTGTTGGTTGTTAGTATTGGACTTCTAACCGAGAGATTCAGGGATCGAGACTGAGCGGCGACGAGGCGGAAATACCAAGAGTAGCGCGAAGGGACCGAGGGGTTGAGGAACCGGCGGGGCTGTCCCCCTTGGTTTGCCGTCGACGACGTAGGAATGGTACTAGCAGCTCATTTTCCTTGTTCAACATATTCTGACGACTAAAAGTTCCAAAATATTTTTATTTATTTATTGTTGCATCATCCACTGCAAAGGTTCGAATGAGAACATGCCCGTCAGGGCCAGCAAGACGGTAGAAAGTGCCTGAGCGCGAGGAAGGGAGGCATCAGGCGGGGATTGTAGGGGTACCGGTGTCGCACCCCCACCGCTCCAAGGCTCGGGCTAGATGTCGTTTCTCGAACCGAGCTCAACGGGTTGATGGACTGGCAGAGGCTGTCACGCAGGATTTTTGATAGGTATAAAAAATAAAGGTGTGTTCAGGGGCAGTCACACTTTGTCATACAGCCGAGTAATCACGGTTATCCCTCCTGCCAGCGGCGACACGGCTTAGAGTGAGGCGTTCGNGGTTATCCCTCCTGCCAGCGGCGACACGGCTTAGAGTGAGGCGTTCGGGTTTATCGCCTGCACCTGACCCCGTATAAAGGATAGACCCAAGGTCACCGGAGTCCCTATCATTCAGGAGTCCTTCAAGTTGCCTTGAGTGTAACCTGTATGTCATAAGGAGGAAAATAACATACATGCATCATAGAGCAATTGACACTGACAAGATAAGAAGACCAGAAACCAGACTCTGCAAGAGTATGACCAGAGAAATGAGACTGAAGAGTACTACACAGTGTGTGCAGGAAGCAGCCATTGGAGGGCTGCAGTCACTAATAAATAATAATATCGTAATACATCATAGTGACTGAAAAGAGAGAATCCWCAATCAATGATAATGAGCGRTACCCCCTCGTGAATGTGTGCTGCCGTCTGGGACTCCACATCTGGCGCCTCGTCATTGAGAACTCGCGTGGCTATAGACTCTGGAACCACATAGCTGATRTCGAGAGGTGCTGCTGGATCAATCTTGCAGATATAATCCATGCATYTGGCCATCTCCTCATCTGCGACGCTCCTGAGATAAAGCTCCTCCGCAAGAATGATGTCGCCTGAAGCTCCAATCAATATCTCAATACGTCCTCTCCCACCAWAGTAGATGTAGGAAACCTCGAGAAAGCGATCTCCGTAAAGAGGCTTTCGATAAGCCTGCATRGCAAAGTCCGTCCCGACCAAATGACTATAGCCATCTCCGAGGTATGGGACCGGACCTTCCCCTCTTGGGGGACCGATAACTGTCTCAGATCTAGGGTCGTCTGACATATAAGAGTCAATCGCCCTCAAGAAGACACTGTGCAAGAAGATGTGCGATCCTCCTCAATGTTGCCCTCCAACGTCTCCGCTCGCTGGTCTCCAGCGCTCCTATCGCTGTCCACAAACTCGATCTCTGTGAGTGCCCCAGTCGATATAATCGCCAAGATCAATGTCACTCATGGAGCAGGGCTCCAAGTCCGACTCATCCGTCTCTGATCTTTGGACGCATGTAGTGATGGGGACCCCGGATCTGGCTACCCCTCTCCTAATCCGGTCGTCCCTCCGACTCTTGTCCTTCCTGCGAGACTCACTGAGGGGCTTGGGGTTGCATCCGTCAAAATCGAAGAGCACGCCCCCAGGTGCTGAGGGTACGCGAGGGAACACTACGTGTAGCMAGTTGTCCCTCCAATAGCTCTCCCTGCGAAATATGTAATCCGCAATCCTGTCATATSTGGTRCCCTTCACTCCCGTCTTTGCCCCCTTCACCGAGTAGGTGATCACAAGCGTGTGTCTCGAGGTCGAGGACTCATTGGCCCTGATAGTGAAACTCTGATGTCCCACATGTCTGTAGCAGAAACTCTCAATCAATCTATCCCACTTAGGGGCAGTATCACGACGTCGGGCCAGCTTGGATGAAATGCACGCTCTCACTAGTGCAGATACTCCCTCCAAGACCCGGCCGGATGACAACTCAATGTGGAGGCCTGTCTGAATGGCCTAACTGAACTGCAACTCGATATGGGGCCCGCCTGAATGGGCCCRGCTGAACAGCAACTCAATATAAAGCCCGCCTGAATGGGCCCGRCTGAACAGCAGCTATCTCAGAAGAAAGRGCCCGCCTGAAGGGGCCTGGCTGGAAASTGCAACMATCTCGAGAAGTGGGCCCGCTTGGAGGGGCCCGGCTGAATCAGCAACTCAATCTCAAGTAGGCCCGCCTAAAGAGTCCGGCTGAACAACAACAATCTCTAGTAGGCCCGCCTGAATGGCCCGGCTGAACAGCAACAATCTCAAGTAGGCCCGCCTGAAGGGCCCGGCTGAACAACAACAATCTCAAGTAGGCCCGCC